CGAACCTGGGGCCAGCTTCACGAAGAAGTTACGCAAGCACTTACGAACCTGAGGCCAGGTTCACGAAGCAGTTACGCAAGCACTTACGAACCTGTACATCTTTTCTCAATCTTTGGCGGCTTTGTTTACAATTATTAAACAGTTAATGAGCTCCGAAGCACCAGGAGGCTGTTTATAACAATAACAACAGTTGATTGGCAAGTTTTCATGCTTGTAAACTGTTTAATAAATGTAACCAAAGCCGTGAAAGATTGAGGAAAGATGAACACGTTCGTAAGTGCTTGCGTAACTGCTTCGTGAATCTGGCCCCCAGGTTCGTAAGTGCTTGCGTAACTGCTTCGTGAATCTGGCATGATAGTTTATCTGTAAATTATTTAAAATAACTTTAAGGAAAACAGTGAATGTGTTTTGAAGGTATACGTGCGTATGTATACATGTGCGTGCGCACACACGCACGCACGGTCAGATAAGTCATGCTTCACATGCTTGGATAAAGTCTAAATCTCCCCTCATTATCCAGGATAATGTATGGGACTTTATTTATACTGTCTCGCTTCTCTGTTATCCTCCTGTGTAATCCAACAGTGATAATCCGAGGTAATAAGTCTCCTAATATTCACTTTTCCTCTCTACCTTCTCTTATCTCCCCTCTTTCTTATCTTCAGGATAATTATTATTCGTCACACTGTGTCTCTACTCATTACCCAGATCATATTTTTTTATGGCGATTAACTGAATGAAATCCCTCCCGCAGCAGCCGGCGATGTAATCCATCAGACTTCAGACGGAAGTAATCTCCAAGAATCTTAAGTAATCTTACCCTGGAAAATAATATCTACAGGAGACGAGGTATTAACTCTCCCCTCGCTGTCTTGTGCCTCACTCCCCTTACTAATGATTTTACGGCACCTTTTTGGTCGCCTCTTCAGAATTATATAAGACTAGAAATAAAAATGAATTTTGGAGAATTGATTTTTCAATTACCATCGACAGTAAAAAGAAACATAAGAAATATTGAGAAAATTCGTGTTAGAATTATTAATCTTACTTTTCGGTCATATTTAATAACACACACACACACTATATATATATATATATATATATATATATATATATATATATATATATATATATATATATATATATATATATATATATATATATATGTGTTTATTTTGTGATACAGTAAGCTTAGCGAGGCCTTGGTCTCAGAGAGGCAATTTATGGGAGTAATACTAAAGAGAAGGAGAGACGGAGGTACTTATCTAACACAGTTTAACTAATTGTGTCTGTAGGGAAGGGGAGGAATGTTGTGTCTAGCTCCCTGTACCCCACCTACTGGCCTTCTTATCCTTGCTGCGTTTACAGCTCGTTGAAGAGACGGGGATACATCTTTAAGTTCGATCTGATCCCAACTTGAACTTTAAAGTTGTGAATAGAGTTGAAGTTACTTTAACACTAATCCACTGGTTGAACACCCCTGGTTGAGTTGAGTTTAAATTGGTTGAGTATAATCAACTCCAAACTCACAACTATAGACCTTCAGCAACACTACCAAAGGATACCTGATCAACCAGGATGTGATTCATACGTCAGGCTGCGAGCAGCCGCGTCCAACAGCCTGGTTGATCAGTCCGGCAACCAGGAGGCCTGGTCGACGACCGGGCCGCGGGGACACTAAGCCCCGGAAGCACCTCAAGGTAACCTCAAGGTAACCATAGTGACTCTCTACCTCTCCACTACCACAACAAGTTACTTGCTTGGCTGAATCTTGGGGTTGAGTTCCTGAGACCATTGTGTCTTGATATTGTCCACTACCGCTCAAAGGGTGGGTATGGGGGTCCACTACCACTCACAAGGTGGGTATGGGGGTCCACTACCACTCACAAGGTGGGTATGGGGGTCCACTACCACTCACAAGGTGGGTATGGGGTCCACTACCACTCACAAGGTGGGTATGGGGGTCCACTACCACTCACAAGGTGGGTATGGGGGTCCACTACCACTCACAAGGTGGGTATGGGGTCCACTACCACTCACAAGGTGGGTATGGGGGTCTACTACCACCCACAGGATGGGTATGGGGGTCCACTACCACCCACAGGATAGGTATGGGGGTCTACTACCACCCACAGGATAGGTATGGGGGTCTACTACCACTCACAGGATGGGTATGGGGGTCTACTACCACCCACAGGATGGGTATGGGGGTCTACTACCACCCACAGGATGGGTATGGGGGTCTACTACCACCCACAGGATAGGTATGGGGGTCCACTACCACCCACAGGATAGGTATGGGGGTCTACTACCACCCACAGGATAGGTATGGGGGTCTACTACCACCCACAGGATAGGTATGGGGGTCTACTACCACCCACAGGATGGGTATGGGGTCCACTGCCAATTCCGGGAAGGTTTGAGGCCTATATGTCTCACAGGAGCAGGCATGACATAAACTAACCCTCGTAGCATGGGAATGAGATACATAAATTAACCAAACTACATTCATGACCCCAACTGCTACAAACCATCCTCAAGTCATATTCAACAGTCCCCCAGGCGCTTAGGTCTGGACACAACCAAAGTCTGGGAACAAATCCACAAGAGCCGTGACGAGGATTCGAACTTACATCCGAGAGCATCCCAGACGCTGCCATAGACTGAGAAAAGTCTGGGAAAGCTATGGGGAGGCAGGGCTATGATGGCACGAAGCCTGAGGAAGAGAGTGGACGGGGCATGGGATGGGTACGGAGGGATGGGTATGGTGGTATGGGTATGGGTAGGATGGGTAAGGCGGTGTGTGTGTGAAGATCTATAAACACATCACCGTTCCACTCCAAACAAACAGAGGTTCATGTGCCCGGCGCTGCTGCACCTTTGCTTGCTTTGGACTTCATTTTTGTTTTTGGACTTAGAGAAGATTATTTAAAAAGGCCGGAAGGTTGGCTTGAATTTTGTTTGATGATGAGGGAAGAAGTGATTGGGCTCTTGTAATGGTTTGCAATATGCAATGATGGTCGTCTTGCTGCGGCCAATGAGGTGAACTTCGACTTAAATGGGTCAACAGTTTCCTCCAACACACTAATGACTTCATTCATTCATTCATTATTGAATGAATGAATGAATGAATGAATGAATGAATGAAGAAATATGAAGCAAGAATTGTGAGTGTTTTAGCTCAGTTTATTTGTTGAAACAAAGACAACACTGGAGCCCCGTTAAGAACAACAAAGACAACACTGGAGCCCCGTTAACAGCAACAAAAGCAACACCGGAGCCCCATTAAGAACAACAAAGACAACACTGGAGCCCCGTTAAGAACAACAAAGACAACACTGGTGCCCCGTTAAGAACAACAAAGACAACACTGGAGCCCCATTAAGAACAACAAAGACATCACTGGTGCCCCGTTAAGAACAACAAAGACAACATCGGAGCCCCGTTAACAGCAACAAAGACAACACCGGTGCCCCGTTAAGAACAACAAAGACAACACCGGAGCCCCGTTAAGAACAATAAAAACAACACTGGAGCCCCGTTAAGAGCAACAAAGACAACATCGGAGCCCCGTTACGAACAACAAAAACAACACTGGAGCCCCGTTAAGAACAACAAAAACAACACCGGTGCCCCGTTAAGAACAACAAAAAGTATTAAGGATAGAACGAAGGAAAGAAATGGTGTCCAACCACTTGCACGGTCGGGGATTGAACGTGGACCCGCATGAAGCGAGACCGTCGCTCTACCGTCCACCCCAACTGGTTAGACTCATCTCCAGACCCAGTAACCACGAAACCACCTCATCCTGAACCCAGAGAAAATTGCCTCATAAAAAGATGAATCATAAAAATGGGAGCCGGTCGGCCGAGCGGACGGCACGCTGGACTTGTGATCCTGTGGTCCTGGGTTCAATCCCAGGCGCCGGCGAGAAACACTAGGCAGAGTTTCTTTCACCCTATGCCCCTGTTACCTAGCAGTAAAATAGGTACCTGGGTGTTAGTCAGCTGTCACGAGCTGCTTCCTGGGGGTGGAGGCCTGGTCGAGGACCGGGCCGCGGGGACACTAAAAAGCCCCGAAATCATCTCAAGATAACCTCATTAAAAAAACACATATTATGTAGTCACTCTCAAGATGGGTTAAAAACATAATTAAATTTGTCGAGAACTCCTACTGACCCTTGAACAAACACGGCGGGTCGCTTGTGTGGTGTTTGGAGAGGCTTGACAGTCCTGTGTTTTGTGTGTTGATCCACATCACCAGGTGTCACACTAAGGACCTGCTGACGGCCACACCACGATGGTCACTACAGATAACACGCTGATGAGATAAAGGCAGCTACACACACACACGCGCACACACACACACACACACACACACACACACACACACACACACACACACACACACACACACACACACACACTCACACAATCTGCTCAGGAATCTGTACACCAGATGATTGACGGTTGAGAGGCGGGACCAAAGAGCAAAGCTCAACTCCTGCAAGCACAATTAAGTGAATACACACACACAAACACACACACACACTGCCAGTGTCCCTTCTCCAAGGTGATGAAGAAGATGGTGAGAAAAACTAATAGAACTTGCGAAGAGAAGGAACGCCTCCCCAGAAGAGTACAATTACGTTAGTACACAGACGCATTTGGGAAGCAAATCTTTGCATTATTCTAAGAATATTCGGAAGGTGGGGCCAGGAGCCTAGCTCAACCCTGTAAGTTCATCTAAGTAAGTACATCACACACACTACTTAATAATAAACTTGTATACAAAAAATACAAGATAAACTTAGAATTCAACTTGCTTAATGAGATAATTTATTATAAACAGAACTTGTTTATATAATGCAAAAAGAGGAACAAAAATGTTCTTACGAGACATTTACACGTAGAAATGTCTTGTGAGACACATGTAAACAGGTGAGCCAGAGCTTAACGAGGCACTTACCTGTCAGTAAATTACCTTATGAGAGCACAGACCTTCCTCATCCAGACCTTCCTTAGCCTGACCTTCCTTAGCCTGACCTTTCTCAGCCTGACCTTTCTCATCCAGACCTTCCTCATCCAGACCTTTCTCAGCCTGACCTTCCTCATCCAGAACTTTCTCATCCAGACCTTCCTCAGCCTGACCTTCCTCATCCAGACCTTTCTCATCCAGACCTTTCTCATCCAGACCTTTCTCATCCAGACCTTTCTCATCCAGACCTTCCTCATCCAGACCTTCCTCACCCTGGACATTTTTAATATATATATATATATATATATATATATATATATATATATATATATATATATATATATATATATATATATATATATATATATATACACACACACACACATGCAACGTACGGGTTTCTAACAATATATTTTAAATAAAAAAAATATATCTAAAAAGAAAAGAAAAGTTTGACAGGTGAATGCTGTGGAGAACATTCTTGCTGGTAATTAGCGAGCATCAGGGAGAAGAATGGAAGTACCACAGAAAGCTGTTCTTAACTACTCAAGGTAATGAACAACAAACAGCGATATGTAACGGGACAAATTGACAACGAGACAAGGTGACGGATAACGAGACAATGTGATGGATAGCGAGACTAGGTAACGAATAACGGGAAAATGTGGCCCCCATATACCCCCCTGTCCCATCTCCAGCCCCCCCCCTCTCTCTGAACATATTTTCCTCTACACATCAGAAAATTAATGTTACTCTCTCATTAGTTACCAGTTATCATCTTGGGGTTTCAAATATATTATTTATTTGTGTCTGCATTACTTCTTAATGAAGTCATACTTCTTGTGGCCTCTCTCTCTGTGTCTCTGTTCGCTGTCTGTCTGTCTGTCTCTCTCTCTCTCTCTCTCTCTCTCTCTCTCTCTCTCTCTCTCTCTCTCTCTCTCTCTCTCTCTCTCTCTCTCTCTCTCTCTCTCTCTCTCTCTCTCTCTCTCTCTCTCTCTCTCTCTCTCTCTCTGTCTCTCTCTGTCTCTCTCTCTCTCTCTCTCTCTCTCTCTCTCTCTGTCTGGGTCTCGGTCTGTCTGTCTGTCTGTCTGTCTGTCTGTCTCTCTCTCTCTCTCTCTCCTCTCTCTCTCTCTCTCTGTCTCTCTCTGTCTCTCTCTCTGTCTCTCTCTCTCTCTCTCTGTCTCTCTCTCTCTCTCTCTCTGTCGTCTGTCTGTCTGTCTGTCTGTCTGTCTGTCTGTCTGTCTGTCTCTCTCTCTCTCTCTCTCTCTCTCTCTCTCTCTCTCTCTCTCTCTCTCTTTCTGTCTGTCTCTCTCTCTCTCTCTTTCTTTTCTCTCTCTGTCTCTCTCTTTCTGTCTGTCTGTCTCTCTCTCTCTCACTCTCTGTCTGTCTCTCTGTCTCTCTCTCTCTCTCTAACACTCTCTCTGCCTCTCTTTCTCTGTCTGTCTCTCTCTCTCTCTCTCTCTCTCTCTCTCTCTCTCTCTCTTCTCTCTCTTTCTGTCTCTCTCTCTCTGCCTCTCTCTCACTCACTCACTCTCTTTGTCTCTCCCAGGCCTCGGTGACAGCAACAAGCCGACTACGTGATACAAATGAGACAATTTAAGTTATAATGCTGGTCATTTTTCCCCAAGCCGCCGCCCCTACAAGTCTTTAGGAATCCTCTGCGGATAAATTGAGACTCATACTTCACCCTGAAACTGATGCTTCATAAGCTTTTGACAAAAAAAAATATTAAACACAATCTATGTTTTCTTAGAAAGTTTAATACATAAATTATGTCGTATATTTGCTAAATAAATTTTTTGACCAGGTCGTTGGCTAAGTAGATATGAACTGGATTAGAAACCTCACTAAAATCTATGTTTTAATACTGTCTATATAGATCCAATGGATCTATATAGATCCATTCTTGTGTGAACTAGGATCTGGTAGAGCTGATATCACATAGACAATACAAAGGCTATCTTGAGGTTATCTTGAGATGATTTCGGGGCTTTTTAGTGTCCCCGCGGCCCGGTCCTTGACCAGGCCTCCACCCCCAGGAAGCAGCCCGTGACAGCTGACTAACACCCAGGTACGTATTTTACTGCTAGATAACAGAGGCATAGGATGAAAGAAACTCTGCCCAATGTTTCTCGCCGGCGCCTGGGATCGAACCCAGGACCACAGGATCACAAGCCCAGCGTGCTGTCCGCTCGGCCGACCGGCTCCTCCGAAACGGTCTATGTTTCCCATGTTACTGATCTAGTTTGGTTACTATTATAGATGCTATAGAAAAATATATAGAAATAAGCGAGCTATAAATCCCAACGTTTAATCAGAGGAAATTACTGACTAGACATTGTTTTACTTAGAATAAGAAAAGCGAATTAATACCAAATTATCACCAAACAATTAATTACCTGAAATTTTCCCGAAGACAAAGGAGATGTATATTGTTTACAAATCATGTACAGGTTAAGTAGAAAAGTTTCCCCTAAGTACTGGGACAAGTTGCCTGTGAGCTCAAGTCTCAGGGAAGTGAAGAATGGCTCCTGTACACTCTGGCAAGTTTACACAAAAGGAACTATCATTATAGATCATTATCTTATACATAATATAAACAATAGGGTCCAACAACATGTACCAGCCCAGACGAGGATCGATCCCAGACGAGGATCGATCCCAGACGAGTCTTGATCCCAGACGAGGATCGATCCCAGACGAGTCTTGATCCCAGACGAGGATCGATCCCAGACGAGTCTTGATCCCAGACGAGACTCGATCCCAGACGAGGATCGATCCCAGACGAGTCTTGATCCCAGACGAGGATCGATCCCAGACGAGTCTTGATCCCAGACGAGGATCGATCCCAGACGAGGATCGATCCCAGACGAGTCTTGATCCCAGACGAGGATCGATCCCAGACGAGTCTTGATCCCAGACGAGTCACGATCCCAGACGAGTCACGATCCCAGACGAGTCTTGATCCCAGACGAGTCACGATCCCAGACGAGTCACGATCCCAGACGAGTCACGATCCCAGACGAGTCTTGATCCCAGACGAGTCACGATCCCAGACGAGTCACGATCCCAGACGAGTCACGATCCCAGACGAGTCTTGATCCCAGACGAGGATCGATCCCAGACGAGGATAGATCCCAGACGAGCCACTCTCCCAGACGAGTCTCGATCCCAGACGAGCCCCGATCCCAGACGAGTCTCGATCCCAGACGAGACTTGATCCCAGACGAAGATCGATCCCAGACGAGGATCGATCCCAGACGAGGATCGATCCCAGACGAGGATCGATCCCAGACGACCCTCGATCCCAGACGACCCTTGATCCCAGACGAGTCCCGATCCCAGCCGGCCGTCATACATATTACACACACACAAAGATCCTCAATTATTACAACGATGAAATTTTAAATGACATTCGACGCTGAACTAATCAAAGCGAGTCAAATGCATGAACCCCAATGGACGATCCCGAGCTATTTGTCTTAGCTCTTGTAATCACCAACAATAAGAAACTATCGTAGTTTCATGCTACAACGCTGATTCAACATTCATGAACTTTACTTAACTATAATTTTGCATCTTAGGTTAAACCATTTTGGCTCCAGTAAGACATAGCCTTTTTGGCTATGTCTTACTGGATTAATAATTTGGCGAAATAGTGATTTTGCCTCATTAAACAAATTAGCCAGTTGGCCAAGCCAGGGAAAGGGCCGGGTGTCGAACCCACGGCTACAGAAGTGTGCTTAAATATTACCGAGGAGCGGGTATCGACCCGCGGTAAATATTGCATGGAATTATAGGGCGAATGATTGTCAATAATGCTTACTTAATAGACACATGACATGGAGAGGGAGGAACTGAGTGGACCCGCTCGCTGTGAAGTCGCAGGGAGGCGGCGTTATGTATTCCCCGGCTTGAACACGCAAACATGCACTCAAACGCGCGTGCACACACACACACACACACACAATTAAACCTCACTTCGTTGGAAGACAGAAGAGTTAGGGGGGACATGATCACCACATTCAAGATCCTCAAGGGAATAGACAGGGTTGATAAAGACAGTCTATTTAACACAAGGGGCACACGCACAAGGGGACACAGGTGGAAACTGAGTGCCCAAATGAGCCACAGAGATATTAAAAAGAACTTTTTTAGTGTCAGAGTGGTTGACAAATGGAATGCATTAGGCAGTGATGTGGTGGAGGCTGACTCCATACACAGTTTCAAGTGTAGATATGACAGAGCCCGATAGACTCAGGAACCTGTACACCTGTTGATTGACGGTTGAGAGGCGGGACCAAAGAGCCAGAGCTCAACCCTCGCAAGCACAACTAGTCGAGTACAGCATCGTGAAGACACAGCATTAATGGGACACGTGAAGCAGCCAAGAAGGTATAGCACTCTTCACAGACAACAATGCCTCTCGGCAGGATATGCCAGGATAGGATAGGCAGGCATGATAGGCGGCATGATAGGCAGGCATGATAATCGGCAGGATAGGCAGGCATGATAGACAGTAGGATAGACAGGCATGATAGGCAGGCAGGATAGGCAGGCATAATAGGCAGGCATGATAGGTAGGCAGGATAGGCAGGCATGATAGGCAGGCAGGATAGGCAGGCATGATAGGCAGGCATGATAGCCGGCATGATAGCCGGCAGGATAGGCAGGCATAATAGGCAGGATATGCAGGCATGATAGCCGGCAGGATAGGCA